AGAGAGACAGACAGAAATATTCCATCAACTCACATTCAGTCCGCAGCCCGAAATAAGTAAAATAAAGACAACGAACAGTGCCCCAACCCCCCATACCCTCCCTCTTTTCCTAGATTAAAAACAAAACCGCTCCCCTCACATTATTTTCCCGAACAATATATAAGGTGTGACCTAAAACTCAGTGTAGACTGCCAACTGAATGCAGCCAAGTTGTGTCGCCAGCCAGATTCTCCTCGATGGAGGGGCCAGATCGGGAGCATTACACTGACGAGTGACGAACCCTATTTTTCAAAACGTCACATTTGGGAATCTATTCAATTTTGAAGAAATTTAGACTTTACACTTGCGAAACTATAATGATTGAAAAAACTTTAATCATTGCATGACATGGGGGCTCTCGCGTTGCCTAGAGGTTGGTCCCGGTTTCGAATCCGGATAACGACGGAAATTTTTCTTATCTAAAAAGGGGGCTCTCGTGGCCTAGAGGTTAAGGTGTTGGCCTCTCATTCAAAGGTCCCGGGTTCGAATCCGGGTAGCGACCAAAATATTTTCTTCTAAAAAATTGTCTCCTTTTACCTCCTTTCCAGCTCTCTAGCAATGTTCTGTTGTCTGCTTTCAATTCCACTTTCTGCCCCCACCCCCTCACCTCCTTTGCCCCCTCCTCTGGGCTCCTGACTCTTTCTGCAGCCTTTCTACTGCTACTCCTTGGCTCCTCCTTACTGCTGTCTTTCTGCCACACCCCTGATCTTCTGGTAGGAAAGATCTACACCTAGCCTTCTCGGACTAGGGCGAAAAATCTCGGAGGGCCCATGTGCAAGTTGCGCACGTTAAAGATCCCTTGGGGGTCTGAAATCTATAAGAGTAGGCTTTGGCCACCACCCGGGCAAAATTCCAAATTTCCTACCAACTGAAAATAGTAGGTGTGTCATGCGCGCTCATATGACCTATGCAGTTGCGAGCGCCGTAAAACACTTAACAAAAACAAACAATTATCTAAAAATATCTCCTTTCACCTCCTTTCCTGCTCTCCAGCAATGTTCTGTCGTTTGCTTAAGCGCATTTGTCTCCACTTTCTACCCCCACCCTCACCTCCTTTGCCCCTCCTCTGGGCTCTGGACTCTTTCTGCAGCCTTTCTTCTGTTACTTCTTGGCTCCTTCAGCCACACCCCTTATCTTATGGTACGAAAGATCATCACCTGGCCTTCTCGGACGAGGGCGAAAAATCTCGGAGGTCTCATGTTGAA